GAGTACCCGCCTTCACTGGCAGCCCAGCTGGCCGCCGTGGGAACAGGGCGAGTCGCCAAAACAGGCGTGGTTAAACAAGCACTGCCGTTGCCAGCTTCCATGGCAAGGTCGCCGTATCTCTCGCCACACTGTGTGCGATGGAGCCGGCATGCATTCATCAGCGGACTGGTCCCAGCCGCCACACCCACTGCAAGCCCTGACAACGCCGTGGCTGCAATGGCTGAACAGCAGCAACAGGCCGTCCAGAGTCCATCTCCAATCTTGAAAGGCTGGAAGCCGTCAAAATTGCCTACACCGCTCTCCAGGCCCCATTGCCTCCAAGCCTTGACCCAGAGCCGGGGCAGCCGTTCCGGTTGCAGCACTTGCTCCGCATTCTTGCCCAAGCAGGGGTGACCCGGACATTCCTTTGTTGGATTTCCTGCAAGATGGAGTCCCAACAGGCGCCGTGAGTGCCTTGCCACGAAGCATGCAGTGGCCAGAAAAGCCGCCAGATGCATCAAAACAGCCCGAGGTCTGTGAAGGCAACTGGAAAACTGCTGAAGAAGAACCCGAAGTAGTGCGGGGCCTTCTCGATAAGGAAATTTCCATTAATTGGGTAGTGGCCACCAGCCTTACATTGGCGGAAGCCAAACAACGGTGGTCTTTAGGAGTTGCAGTGGCGAAATTGGACGTAGTCTTTGCAGAAGGCAAAGAGTCACAGTTTGCCAGGTCAATGCCCGGTGCCATCTGCCGGAACGCCTCAGCCTTCCAATGGCATCAGACCTGGCCCTGGCTACTCAGCCAGACGACACCCCAGGTGCTTTCATAGGCATGGCCTCCTGCTCTCCGCCTATCACTATAGAGTATGCCGCTTTGGTGGCCGCTTCTCAGGCTTCTGGTGGCAACGCGCAGGCTTCCTGCAATTCTTAAATGCAATTCTTAAGGGCGTTTTCTTGCTACGCCAGATACATGGGCTCTTGGTGTGGAAACCACACAAAGCCTTCCTGTTCGTGGACGACCTCCTGTGCGCACTCATTCGCGAAAGTGCCCAGGAGATGTTCGCGTTGGTTGTGCTCTTCTTCTGCGCAATCGCAGCGCCGATGTCCTGGAAGAAAGTGCAGTTCCAGGACCGCCTTGTGTGGTGTGGATGGGAGATCAACTTCTCCGCTGCACCTTGGGTCTTGGCTTATGCAGACCTCAACAGCCCTCCCGGTTCAATGCGCTCCATACCACCGCGCGCATGGACTGCATTTCGGGCCTGCCTGAATCGGGACGTAAAAACCAGCCGTAGCCTTCCATGCCTCTGGGTTACAGAAGGATCCCAGGTCTTAGAAATCAACGGCCAGGCTGTGCACTGTGTGCAGGATGTCGCGCGCATCCCAGGCACAAGCAAACCTACATGGGTATGAATCTCAGATCCGTCAAACCCATACACCAGCCTCTCCAAATTCAGCCAGCAATGCCTGGCCTGGCTTGGATCGTGTTTCCACTCGCCTCTCCAACCGATCGCACAGCCTTGCAGACTCCAGGCCCTGGCAGCGGCCGATGCTTGTGCAGAAGCTGACGTGGTCGGCATCAGAGGATGGGCCGTGACTTCCACTCAAGTGGTCTGGTTTGCGGAGACGTGGACCATGGACGAAGTCAGGTCTGCGTGGCCCTGCCTTACTAAGCCCGCTCAGCGTTACATTGCTTGCTTTGAGACCTTAGCGCATTAGCCCTGCTGCAGGCCACGCATTCGCATATAGGAGGAGGTCACTACTCCTTCAGTTTGCCTTCAGGCACGGACAACACCGCCACCGAAGCAGGCATCAACAAGCTGTTCAGCACTTCTTGGCCTTTGCAGTTGTTTCTGCAACTGGTAGCGGCACGGGCGCATGCGCACAACGTGCACTTGCAGCCCACACATGTGCCCGGGCGTCTGAACGACTGGGCGGACGACCTCAGCCGGGATCGCCTTCAAAGATTCATGAACCGCCCTGCAGACCGAGGGCTCACTCTGTGCCCGATTGACGCGCCTTGGCGGCCAGAACGCCTGGCTCCCGCATCAATGGATTTTGGCACCAAACCCAGCGCGCTGAAAAATCGGTTTCGAGAATGCATACCATGCGTCTCCAAACAGTTTCCGGTGAGATGTGCAAATTCACCCTGGCAGGAACAACCCCGCTCTGAAGGGGGGTATATGGTCTGCTCAGCTGGCCCAGCTTTTTCCGGGGTTGCTTGGAAACACTTAAAAGGGGGACAATGATACCTCCTGCTCCAGGTGCACCGCGTGCCCTGGAGGCAGTGCCACTTTCAAGCAACCCGTGAAAAAGAAGTGAGCGCCTTTGGGATTTGCGGGGCTCTTTGATTTGGAGGGTTGTTCGGGTTCAAGCTAGGAGCAGTGCAACAGGCCTTAACACGTGAGGAAGGAAACACATGCAATCAACGAGCTAGTGTTTTGCGGGGCAAGCTCCGCAATTCCTCGACTGGCCTCTGAAGTGATTGCGTCGCCGCGGGGTTATCTGATAGCAGCTGTTCTGGCCATGAGCCAAGATTCGTCCTTCTAATGAAACCAAGATCGCTGACGGCTTCATCAGCAAGGTCTTCGCGGGCTGGCCCCTCTTCACCTTCTCCTGCAGCGCACTGAGAAACACGGAATGTTTAGCACCATGGCGTCCCAACCCGCGAGCTTGGTAATGGTCCGCATGGAAACCGTGTCCGACCTCCAGCGATTCATTTTTGCCGTTCAGAGGAAATTGCACATCATTCAGGTAGTTTGCCAGTGCTCTCCAAGGTGCAGTTCCTTCTCCCCGCCCACAGGATCCCAGGTTGAGCTATGACACGCGCATGATTGCCATGCCCATTGCAATCATTTGTTGGCTCTTGACATTGCAGCTGCGTTATGTCAAGTTTGTGGCCCCAGACCCCACGCACTTGCAACGCTCTTTGACTTGCAGGTCTCTTTCTTTTTGCAGGCTGTAAATAGCATTCTGAGGAGTCTCTTTTCAAAGTCCCCGGTTTTGGGCTGCCTCTTCTAGGGGTTGTTGTTGCAAGTTGCATTGTCAACACGCGTGCCTGACCAAACTCGGCAGGACCTTGTACTGATACAAATCGATTTCGACGCACTTGCATCTATTTGAACTTGGTCGTGCAGGGGCCAGCATGTAATTGCCGCCATGTGCTGCCATTGTCAGAAGTCACAACATTAGAAACTGCAAGGCAAAAATATGGCTGCAGCCGGCCGTTTCCCACGTGCAGAGATTCGCCTCTGTCATCCCGCCCTGCCGTTCTGGCTCGCTGGACACGTGGAGGGTAGGCAGACATGTTGAGCCCAAGAGTCTTTACATGTGCCAGGTCTTTTGATTTCTCAGACCGGCATGTCCCTGCTTCAAAGGCTGGCGCATCCATCTTCAACGTTCCGGCTCGTAGGCTTGCAAGGAACGTTGCGCTTCAGGGCGTGCCAGCCGGACAGGCACCAGCCGGACAGGCAGCGCTGCCTTGAGCTGTTTGGCACATGCCTGAGCAAAGGCGAGCTGAGAAGCAAATTCCTGGAATTAGCCAAGACGCTTCACCCCGATGCCAATGCAGCTGGCGCCACAACAGCTGCCTTTCAGGAATTGCAAAGTTGCTATGCTTTGTTGATGAGCGAGCATGGCCCAAGAGAAGAACCTGAGTGGCTTCGCAAACTGCGTGAGGACTACGCAAACTCGAAGGACCCTTTCCCTTAATTCAAGGATGCGGTGTGTGTCAAAAAGTTTGAAGCGCATGCGCTGCCAAGGTGCCACCCTGCTAGGACTTCTGGTGTCTAGACAGCTGCGTCTTCTGGATTCAGGTATGCTGCTTCATTGGTACATGTAGGCCATAGAGCTACGGGTGCGAAGGAAGAGCTGTTATCACCTTGAAAAAGGGCCTCAAAGGGTTTGTCAGGACAGAGACGCCGGCAGACGTTGCAAGAGCTGTGCCGTTGGCAAGCGCCGCCTTCGTACAGCATGGCTCATGGCAAGACTCTAAAGCAGCATTCTTAAACAGGTTCGCGCTTCGATTGAGACGGGCACGCGCTTCAGTGTGACTCCCGTCTCAGGCCCGCAGCTCGGTGGCTCACAGCAAGATAGGCCTTTGCGATGTACGGACTCCGGCTGATCAACAACAATTACGTGGCCAACGGGACTGGCAAGGCCTTCTAACAGACCTGGCGTCTTTGGTTGGAGTGGGTCCTGAGGATGTGACCATCACATACGATCCTACCTTTCGCGGCGGCAGGTGTGGCTGAAGCAATCTTCAAATCATTGCCATGTCAATTCGCACTTGCTAGGCTTGGCAGCGTCAATCAGCTTCAGCACTTTCCTAATCCGAAGGCCGCAACTAGCTCGCTAGCGGCCAGATAGCCAGTGCGGTGCCTGTTGCTATCTCCAGGCCGGGGCCCCCAAGCGCCGCAAAGATGAGAATGCCAGAGGCTGAGTTGCCGGGCTGACTGTAGCTGGCTAATCGTAAAGCCAAAGGGAGGCAGTCTAACACCGACTATTGATCCTGGTGCTGCCAGGGATTGTGAGCAATGGCAAGGGAAATTCAGAGCCATTGCTTCCCGTGCAAATTGCTTGTGAGTACCGGGCTTGCCACCTCGCCAAGACCGGCTTTAACCAGCGTGATGAAGCCTACAAGCAGACACTGAACTGCTCTCGTTCCGCTTTCCTCGTTCGGAAGGACGCAAAGGCGGGCATTGGTGATGATGCGCTTCATGCAAGAGCGCATGCACGCTTTGTGCCAGGAAAGGATCAAGGAGTCTGCAAAGTTCCGGCTGGAGCCTCAGCCAAGCCACGCGCGTTTTCAACAGCATTGACATTGCAAGGTTCTCCGATGATGCAAACAAAACCTTGGGCACAGTGCTGTCGTTGAAGTCGTTGCCGGCCAGCAGCCCAGTGTGGCAGTGAGCAAGCCACAGGCTGAGTTACATGTGCACTGCATGATCGCTGCATGCGCTGCTAGCTGTTAACTGCCCTGTCGAGCCCGGCGTAGCGTGTGACAGCGTGTGGGCGCGGGTCGCCATGAGCGGATCGCGGCTGCTCTCTGCCGCGTCCTATGTGGGCAGCTCATTGGCCATGACTTCTCTCACGAAGTACGCCGCCTCGGCGTGGCGGTTTCCAGGCTCGAGCTTGTTGCTGCTCATCGAGTGCTGGGCCACGGTGCTAGCCCTCGGCGCCTTTCGAGCCTACTACCCACTGAGCTGGCCCATCTTGCGGCACATGCCGCTGGTCACCGTCACCAAGGCGGTGAATATGTATCTCAGCTTTCTGGCCATGAGGCGAACCAGCCTTCCCGTGTACAACGTGCTGAAGCGCTTGCAGCCGGTGTATGCCATGGGACAGGACTGGCTCATCCGTGGCAGCCTCCCAAGCACCGGAGAGTTTGCCAGCGTGATTCTCATTGCCACTGGTACTATTGTGACTGGCTTGGGCGATCTCGATTTTGATGTCGGCGGCTACGCTCTTGCCTTACTGGCAGCAGGGTGCCAGTCTCTATACCTGGTTCTGGCACGACATGCTCAGGACAGTGGCAAGTTGTCCTCAATGGATCTTGTCTTCTATACCGCGTTTTACAACTCCGTGCTTTTCATTCCACTATCCATGTTGGAGTTGTCTGCCGTACTGGCATTTCTTGATAGCCCAGGCGAGGTTAGCAACTTCTTCCAGTTCTTGACTCCATATGTCATGCTGGGTGCATTGCTGAACTATGCCACTTTCTGGTGTACGGCAGAGACTTCTCCGCTGGCTACAGCTGTGGCAGGGACCCTGAAAGGCGTGCTGTCCTCTTTGGCGGGCATGCTTCTTTTCGGAGCGCACCTCACACCCATTGGCTGGATGGGGCTGATTGGTAGCACGATTGGCGGATTCCTGTATTCAGTAGCCCATGCAAAGAGCAAGACAAAGACGTCCTAAAAGTCGGCTTCGGGAGGAATCGGCATGTCGTTTTGTTGGTGGCATCTCGCATGCTGCTCGCCCCATGCTTCAGGCCAGCAGGGAGCTCATCCGTGCAACGTCCGCGCCCAGTTTCCAAGCGGCAGCTGCCTGCAACTTCAGGCAGGGCACGTTTCGCACCTTTTGCACAGTCTAGGCAGCAGGGGCCGGGTGACGCCGGGTGCAGGCCCCGTTGGGATGTCCCCGCCATGGCGCTGGATGAGGCTAGGGGAGAAAAAGGAGCGGCGTGCACGGTTTCCCTGCCCGTGTCAGGCTGTGACCAGCCAGGAGCAGGCGGCAGAGGAGGTGAAAAGGTCCCTGCTACCATCTTACTGGAGGTCAGGGTCACTTCACTTTGCCCCGAGCCATCTGGAGTCACAGCAAGGCCGAAGGATCCTGCCTTGGATTGGCCCGCACCGGGATTCTTGCATCCCACCACAGGCTTCTCCAGGAGCCTTGAGCGCTCTGCACCGTTTGAGTTCGTACAGTCTAGCTTGTGGTGCTTGCTCCGAGGACTGATGGAGGGGGGCCCTGGCCAAACTGAGAGCCAAACGTGTAACGATGGCTTCAGTGGCATCGCCCAGTTTTTCCGGGACGGCCAGTCCCGGAGCTATGGAGGTTCCGTGGTCATGTCAGCCTTATCAGTTGCAAGGTCCGGTGTTAGGCCCATTTGTCACTGGTGTGGAGCACGACTCGCTGAACTTCACTGAGCCAACTGGCCGAACCGTGAACCGCGGGCCATGAGGCCTTTGCCTAAGGCAAGGGGCTTCAACTGTCCCGAACTGCCAACATGCGACAGGCAACTCTGATTTTATGTGACATGTTGGCAGCCATGTGCTGCTTCCCGGTGGCCAGCCAACTTATTGTCTGCCTGCGAGTGCATCTCACTGAGGTGTGTCCCCAATTTGAGTCAGAGAGATGTAACTGCGCACAGTGTAAGTGCGATGTACGGTGCAGGCAGCAACATGCCACCCTGTACCCTTGCCGAGCATCCTAACGGCTTGGCCTTTACTCCCGGATGGTATGTCCACACAAGTGCGGGGCTGAAAATCAGGCCCATTCACATTGAGGATGCTGGGTAGTATTTCACATGCCTCGATATACTGTCTGATGCCATGGCAATTGCGTGAGACGCTTCTGGCCATTTTGCCCTCAGCTTTGGCGTAGGGGGTGTGTCAGAGCCATGTAAGCATGGAGGGGCAACAGTCGCAACAGATGAGTGCAGAAGTGCTGCAGCAGCTGTACCAATCCGACATGCAGCAGCAGTTGAGCCCTGAGCAGCAGGCACAGCAGGCGCAGCAGATGCAGCAGATGCAGATGCAGTGGCAGCTTTTGCAGCAGAGGATGCAGGAGATGCGGGAGGCTGGCGAACAGGAGACCGAGGATCAAGAAGAGGGGCAGCAAAATGAGCAGTATGAAGCCGGACAGTACCAGGACTCTGCGGCAAATGCTTACCAACAAGACTCAGGCAATCAAGGGCAAATGAGCCAACAAGAAATGGAGATGCAGTATCAGATGCAAAATGAAGGCCAGGAAGAGTGGCAAGAGTCAGATCAGTATGACGAGGACATGCAGGACCAAATGCAGCAGCAGATGCAGCAGCAAATGCAGAAGCAAATGCAGCAGCAAATGCAACAGCGAATGCAGCAGCAGATGCAGCAGCAGATGATGCAAGAGCAGATGATGCAGGAACAAATGATGCAGGAGCAACCCCAATCCCAATATCAAGAGCCACCGCGTGCCAACCAGAACCCTCTCACAGGTGCAAACTACACTCCCCGCTTTTATCACCTCTTGGAGAAGCGTCAGCGGCTGCCTGCCTGGGCAGCCAGACAAGAGTTCCTGAGGCTGATGCAGGAACACCAGGCATGGAGCTCAGTGGGTCGAATGCACAAAGCCAGGCTTTTTCATGCCTTCGCGTTTGTTGGCACGAGCGGCCTTGTCTGGGAGGTTCTCATGCTGGCGGGTGCGCCGGGTTCCGGCAAGACCACCCAGTTGCCGCAGATCCTGCTAGATGCTGGCTACCATGTGCAGGACGGCCAGGTCAGGGCCATTTGCTGTGCCTTGGCTGCATTGATGGGTGCAACTGCGGCTGGTGTGGGATGCACCGGTTGCACCCTGCAGGTGTGCAGCCGAACCCCATGGCGACCATCAGCGCCGCCATGCGCATCTGCGAGGAGCTAGAAGTGCAGGTGGGCACTTTTGTGGGCCACGTCACCCGGTTCGAGGACGGGCTTGTTTGTTTGAGCGAAGGAGATTGCGCAATGTTTAGGGAATGGGATTCGCTTGGAGGGCCAGGGTGTTCAGGTTCCATGCTAGGCTCCAGGCAAATCTCCAACCCGAGGCCTTGCATGAGTCTTGAGATTGCAGGACCGGACCTCTGGCGACACCCTGCTGCGCTTCCTCACGGATGAGGCGTTATTCCGCGAAGCTTTGGAGGACCCACTGCTGGAGAGATATAGCGTCATCATCTTGGATGAGGCACTGCGCACATATGGCAGGGGGGGGGGTTTCCTGCTTCTGCACTTTTTGCGCTGCTGTGTTTTTGCTTTCTCGGCTTTCTCGTTGCTTTCTTTGTTGCGTGTTTCTTCGGGAGGTGCATCAGCGGAGTAGCGAGACGGACGTGTTGATGGGCATCCTGAAGATGGTGATGCAGCGGCGCCAAGAGCTCAAGCTGCTGCTGCTGTCCTCGGACTCGGCGGCCGCGAAGGTGCAGCGCTTCTTCGAGGCGCCGCTGCTGAAGGTCCCAACCCGCGCCTTCCCGGTGGCCATCTTCCACACAGAGGAAGACTATAGACTTAAAAAGACTTCAAGCGAGGGCTTGCAAGAGATCCCCGTTTCTCGAAGCAGGCACATGCTTGTCTTTTGTCTCTTGTCCGCCGTCTTCTTCTTTTTCTTTGTCTTTTTCCCTCAGGAGCGGGAGGAGCGGGACTACTTGAAGGCGGCGGTGCGTGCCGCGGTTCAGATCCACCAGTCGGAGCCGGAGGGCGATGTCTTGTTGTTCCTGCCTCACGAGGAGGAGATCGACGTGGCGTGCCAGCTGCTGCGGAAGGAGGCGGCGCACATGCCGCTGGGAGAGCTCCAGGTTCGGGCGCTCTACGTTGGTCTGCCTCTGATGGACGTGCAGCGGGTCTTTGAGCCCCCTCAGCCCATCAGGAATATGCAACAACAGATGCAGAAGCAAAGCCGCAAGATCGTAGTGGCCAGCAGTGTCGCCGAGACAGCAGTGTGCATCGACGGCATCACTTATGTGATCGATGCCGGTGTGGAGAAGCAGCGGGTCTACAATCCCAGGCTCTGCCTAAATGTCTAGTGCTGGATATAAGGGCTCCATACAGTTTTGGCTGATACCTATTGAACACGGGCCGGAGTCGGTGGGGCAGGAGGCATTTCCGAAAGCGGAGTTCGGGGCCCAAACATCAGTTTCTGGGGATGAAATACCTAAGTGAATTTTATGAAGCTGTTTTGGAGGCCTGCACTTGTTTGGTCGGCTCTTTTGTGGGTTACGTTCTGTACTTCATCTACTAGGAACGTTGCCAAAAGAATGCATTTTGCTGGCCGAACATCTTTGCCGATTTTCGGGGCTTGGTTGGAACATGATCTTTGGAGTTCTCAAACCCGCTCGCCACAAGCATAGGCCCGAAACAACACCTGGGAAGAATGACCTTGGCGCGCCTGTCAGAGCCCAAATTGCACATGTCCGAGGGCCAAACTAAATTTGGTTGAGACTTTGTAGAAAAGCACAGCTTGGGAGCCAAGCGCAGTTTTCGCGCACCGTGCCGCGGTCATGGGCATTGCGCCAGAAGCATCGTGTTCCTAGTGTGGAGTACCTTAGCCTGGGGCATTAGACGCACGACATGTCAACATTAGAAGTTTGTAGTCTATGCTGTTTTCAGAAGAGATGAATTTGAAAAGCACAGTATGGACTCATTTCCTTGAGATCCTGCAATGCAGACTAAAGCATATTCTGGGCCGAGCATTGCTTTTTCGCGCTTTGATTCTGTGGCCTTTCAAGGTCTTGGTTGTGCGTGGCCGAAATTTCTGCAAGTTGCGAAGCTGCGATGGCGCAAACATCGCAAGGGCGCAGGCCACCAGTTTGCTACGGCCATCTGTGAGTCAAGTTGTTCGGTCCTTTGGCCAGGACCCGGATGGAGGGACAGGTGGTGACACCGATCTCCAAGATATCAGCTGTGCAGCGGAGCAGCCTGGCAGGGCGAAGCCGGCCAGGCAAGTGCTTCAGGCTGTACCCGGAGAAGGCCCAAAGCGAGTGGCCGCCCTGCATACAGCCGGAGATCAAGCGCCGCGGCGCGCAATCCGGTGTCTCTCACACGAATTTGCAAAAATCCATGGCAGCGCATTTTTTCAAAACCGTTGGGTTCTTGAGTTTGTGTTTTGCATGAGGAGATCAAATCTCACGACGGTGGTTCTGATGCTGAAGCGCTTGGGCTTCGACGACGTGGTGCACTTCGACTTCGTGGACCCCCCACCTCCCGAGGCCTTGATGCGGGCCTTGCAGGCGCTGAACCACCTGGGCTGTGACGCGGCCAAAGCTGTGAAGCTTCCGCACGCACAGCTTGGTATAGCCATAGCTTGCAAATGCAAACTGCCCGCGGTTGGCGTTTTTGCCGCCCAGGTGTGGATGACAACGGCAACATCACAGAGGTTGGCCACCAAGCGTGCCGCTTGCCGCTGGACCCACAGATAGCCAAGATGCTGATAGAAGCCCCGCGGCACAGATGTAGTCCTTTGGCTGCAGTTTGGCTTGGGCATCAGGCCACTCGGCCACCCCGTTCAGCCATTGCATAGCTTTCTCGGCTCGATGCTTTCCACGTATGCTGCCGTATGCTACAAGGGTAATTGTTGCTTGCACAGCGTGCCGTTTATTGCGAGCCAAGGCAACGAAGCATTGTCCATAGCCGCAATGCTGTGTTCTCTGCCGGTCTGGCTCAGACCAAACGATGCATTCAGGGCAGCCAACGAGGCAAAGGCGCGCTTTGCTCATATGGATGGCGATCACCTGACTTTGCTGAACGAGACTTGGCCTGCATCAAATGCCAACCCAGCTGCATGAGCTGTTTCTGTTGGAAACCGTGCTTCTTGCAGCCAAGGTTTTTCATGCTTACAAGCAACAAATCCAGGATGGTCACGACCCAAGCAGGTTTTGTGCGGAGAACTTCATCTCTATCAGAGCCATGCGGAACGCAGAAATTGCACGTGACCACCTGAAGAAGATCATGGAGAGCATCGGGCTGCAGATGGTTAGCACTGATTTCCAGGACCGGGTAGTTTGAACTTGTGTGAGCATGCCATGGCATGTTGCCGCGGGATTCCGGGAGGACAAGGAGTACTACCCCAACATTCGCAGATGTTTAGTCTCTGGCTTTTTCATGCAAGTTGCATGCTTGGAGAGTGAGAAGCGCGGAGCTTATAGCATGCTGCGTGAGGGGCAGGACTGTCAGACTGCTGATGCAAATGTAAGTCCTTCAGGCGTAAAGTCCAACAGAGCCACTTCACGTTGGAAGCTGTCGCAGGAAGTTGTCCTTCATCCATCTACTTCTTTGGGTCACCGGCCGGAATGGCTGGTTTTCCATGAGCTGTCACTTTCCTCCAAAGTCTTCATCAAGACAGGCGCGGTTGTGTGGGCGTAGGACTGGTTCAAGCAATCTCCACTTTGCTCCCCCTTGTGACAGGAACCCAGATCAAGCCAGAGTGGCTGCTGGATTTGGCACCTCGTGGCTATTTCGACCCCCAGAAAATCGCGGAGAAGTGCTCAGCACGTGGGAAGCTGGAAAAGCTCCTCAGGCGCTTTTCCCAGGAAGCCTGAGCCTTTTGGCAGCTCTTGCGATGTTCACAGGCGCCGGGCTGGTTGGCTTTGGCAGTTTGGCTGCTCCGCCGACTGTTGCCCCGTGCGCCAGATCACGTTTCACAACGGAGTGAGGTATGTTGGCAGGATATGGCTCATAGACTGGGCGGTAACTCTTGGCAAAAAAGAGAAAGCTCGCGTTGCACTTCATGCAAAGTTTCCGTGAAATCTGACGTGCGAGGGTGCATGTGAGATGGAGAGTGTGCTTGGCAGCTTGGCTTCCCAGGCAGAGTCCGCGCGTCCGCGCCATGTTGTGGAGCCATGCACCACTGTGTCCACACCCCGGATTCTGGGCCACCTCTGGCTGCCTGCTGACAAGAAGCGTTCGTTTGCTTGCAGACCTGCTGTGTTTCGGCGCTCTGGAGCTCCATGCGTGGATCGCTGGGGCCTCCAGCGAAAACTTGACTGCGAGGTTCCACAAGGACTACCCACAGCACGAGGCGCTGCTTCAGGATTCCTTTGGTTTGGTCTCGCTGGTCGCCTGGCTGATGACCCTGGGCCTTGTGGCGTGGCACGTCGTGGCGACCCTGCGCCGCCTCTGCCGTGCTCCGGAGGTGCTCTTCTTCCCGGACCCTTCGGGCGTGCACGTGCGCCACGTGTGCCTCCTGCTGCGGGGCGCGCGGCGCCGGGTTTGGGTGGCCATGTTTGCCCTGACGGACGACGTGCTCAGCGAGGAGCTGCTGAGGGCCTGGCGGCGCGGCGTCGACGTCAAGGTCGTGGTGGACGACGAGCAGTGCCGCATGCCAGGCGCGGATGCCCAGAAGCTGCTGGACGCCGGCGTGCCACTGCTCCTAGATGACTCCCCTGCACGGATGCACCACAAGTTTGCTATCGTGGATAGCTGCCTGCTCACCGGGAGCTTTAACTGGACAAAGCAAGCCAGCACGACCAACTGGGAGAACCTTTGCATACTCAGGGATGCAGCCGCAGTGGCTTCCTTCGCAGCGGAGTTCCAGTCTCTTTGGCGCCTCTTCCAGCGCAAGCAACACCCGGGCAAACGCAAGCGAGATGCCACGCCGAAAAGGTAGCTCCTGGCATCTCTTGGCAGCTGTTGGAGTTCGAGCGCCGCCGTGCTCGTGCCACCTGTGCCACATGAATACGCAGGACATGGCCAAGCTATGCGTCTTGCGAAGTGAGGTGTCAAAAAAAGACAAATGCGGCGGCAGCTGCTTTTTGAACCAGAGCCGGCCCTCGCCTGGATGTGTTTTTTCAGGGGAGGGGGGGGCTTGCGTTTCAGTTTACTGCACTGCGCGTGGGCTCAAGGACAACCAGGGAGCGACTGTTTAACAGTGCGACTCCCACGTCTCCGCCCTCTTGGGCCCGGGGCTGGCCTTCAGCCATGTCGGCCATCCACAAGTTGGAGGCTGTGAAAGAGCAGCTGGTGGCCTCCTGCGAGAGTTTGGCAACTCTCAGCATGCAGCACCAGCAATGGCAAAGGTCAGTGGAGCAGATGCTGGCGGACGTTCAGGCTTCCCTCACCATCCCCGACCTTTCTGAATCAGAACCTCGTGGACAAAAGAAGCTGTCGCACTCTGGTTCAATGTCGATGCCTTCGGTGCACAGCCGCAAGTCAGCTGCATTGCACCCCCTTTTGCAGCGCCTCGCTTGCATGCAGGTGCCTAGGCATGCGCCTGCCACACTGACATGAGCCTTGCGAGCCTTGGCTGCGGAACTCTCAGGTCAAGGGAGTCGGTGGCACCGCAGTACCCAGCTGGACCTTTGCGCAAGTTGCTGGGTGAAATGATCGCACCCTCTGAGGACAGGGCTGGGTGTAGCTGTTTGCCTTCGTGTCTTAGCGTTGTGTCTTGTATGCGAGGATGCTGCGACCCCGATGGCTGTCGGGGAATTGGCGCAGCGCTGGGCAGCAAGTGTCGTCTCCTCCAGCTACTTCGAGTTTGTGGCTGGCTTCGTTATCCTCTTGATGCTCGTTGATAGAATCATAGAATCCGAGAGACTGACAAAGAAAGGCAAAGAAAGGCAGAAGGGCTGTGACACGTTGAGGGCCTCTTCTCTCATGTCGCACCCAAGGAACATGATCGCTATTGGAGCGGAGGCTCAGATGTCCCTGGAGCCGGGCCAACAGACGGACGGCTTTTGGTTTGGAGGGGTAGAGCGGATTTTCTTGGCTGTCTACTGCGTCGAGGCCATTTTCCGTGCGTTTGCGGGCGGTTGGCGCGTTCTTTGCGACCCTTGGTTCATCATGGATCTGTCCCTCGTGTGTGTGGGCTTGACAGCCTTGCTGGTCATCCCATACGGCTTTGAGGGCAATGAAAACTTAGAAGGCTTCGAGAAGGTGCTGGTTGTGCGTGGCTTGCGCTTACTTCGGCTGGCGCGGGTGTTCCGCATGGTGCACCACTTCAAGATCATTTGGCGCCGGCCTTACTTGCAACTGCTTGCAATCAAGTGAGAGTCCAGGTAGCACTTGCAGTCGGACACTGCCTCTTAGCTTGCGGCTTTGAGGCGGCTGGTGTACGGTTTGCTCACGGCGGGCCAGACAATCTTCTCCACGACCGTGCTAATCCTTCTGTCTCTCTTCATTTTCGCTTGTGTGGCTGTGGAGCTCATTGCCAAGGACGTGGAGCTCAACAATCACGAGACGACAAAGGCGATTGTGGAGCACAACTTTGCGGGTGTGGGCCGTTCAATGATGACACTCATGCAGTTTGTGACCTTGGATGGCTTGGCAGAGTTTTACTATCCTTTGATCCTGTTGAAGCCTTGGCTCGTCCTCTACTTCCTCCCCATACTGGTCTTTGTCTCCATTGGCCTGCTCAACTTGGTGACCGCAGCGCTGGTAGAGAATGCAATGGACAATGCAGAAGCCCGAGCTGATGAGGAGAGGTTGAGGCTGAAGCGACGGGTCCGAGGAGTCATGCGCTTAGATTTGGCGGGTACTCGAACCTGAAATGTTCGGGCTTGATCCTTGTAGTGTTTTTCGATCACATGTCGCTGAGGCGCTGCCGGCTTTGCTGGATATCTTCCGGGAGCTAGACAAAGACGCGAGCGGTCTCATTACACACGAGGAGGTGGACGAGGTGCCTATCGACATTTTGCCGCCCCGAGTCCTTGATTCTGTCTATGTGGACAACATGCGAGACATTTTCGACCTTCTGGACGTCAACGGGGCCGGTGTCTTGACGCAAATGGAATTTGTGGAGGGCTTGCTGAACCTGTGTCTCCTGGACATGCCTATGTGGACGATGCAGCAGATGAAGCTTCTCAAGCTAATGCACGAGCAAATAGGCAACTTGGGTCTGGCTTTGGAGGTTGTCTCAGTTCGTTTGGCCAAATCTGACGTGGTCTGTATGTAACTCGTGCCATGTATGACTAGTTTGCCCACGCCACCAGAGCCGTAAGTGACTGGTGCGCTGGGCTGTTCCCCTTTGCTTCACACCTCCAACACGTGGGTGATTGGTGGGTGCTCGTGGCAGGCTTTCACCGCGCTCTGCTAAGGCCTTGTTAGACATTGCGTGACAAAGCTCACGCGAAAACAGGAGAAATCCAGCATCTTTGGGCCCCTACCGAGGCCGGCCTGACGCTCTCCATTTTAAAATAGACCAGTCATTTCACTAATTGCCCAAGACGAAACCAGCAGAAGCTTCTCACCGAGCCAAGTTAAGCTGAACCATTGCTAAATCAGAACTGCAACAAAAGCAGCCCCGCCCCAAAATTGTGTGGGGAGCGGGGCGCTGAGCGGATCACATATGCTTGGTTGCGTCGACTTGCCTCATGCCACGGGAGGCCCCTTGAACTTCTTGAAGTGCATGACTGTGGCGTTTGCCTTGTCCCCGTTCGTTGGGAACACAGAACCAAAGGACGATCCACGAATCAAATAACAGACACAGATCATCAAAGATCCCAGAAACCAGATGCATCGGGGCTCGCGGGGCCGCGGCGATGCGCTGTTCCAGAACCTGAACCGAGACGACGGCGCATGGCAGTCTGCGCAGCTGACGCGGAAGCCAAAGCCGCCACAGCCCAAGGCGCAGCCCAAGGCGCCCAAGGTGCAGCCCAAGGCACAGGAAGGCACAAGGCGGCGATCTGCCGAGGCGGGCAGAATTCCGAGCGTCCGAACATGGACGAATTCCGTTCGCGGCGTTTCTGCGTAGGAGATCTTGGCGGGCTTCCGCAGCGGCTGGAAGCAGAAGCTGGAGGAGACAGAGCAAGCGCTCGGGAGCTCGAAGCCGAGGGAGAGGTCTGAGAAGAGGTCGCCGTCTCCCCGAGAGATCCAAGCGCCGGAGGGAACGGTCACCTTCCATCTCCAGTGAGTGATACGCCCAATGCAGTTACATAGTAGTTACTCAGTTGCAGTAGCTATGGAAAGACACACGAGTGTGAGCCGAAAAAGAAGGCATGAGGGATGAGAGTCCTCTTGCTTGCCCAGTAGAATGCCGAGTACAGCATGCAGTTGTGAAATGAGGGTGTTTGTGGGGAGCACGCCCGGATGTTCGACTTTTCCCCAGCATTGGATCAAGGTGCAGTTGCTCATACAGGATACAAATGACAAGTGCGGGCAGCCAGTGGCAACCAGCAGTGCTTAGTCAGTGCTTTATGTCCGCCCTTCATCGCCTCGCCCGTGAGTATAGTTCTATACTTATTTGCCACCGTTCGAGGCAGAAGTGCTTCAGTGGCCTCAGACATTTGTCGTGACTTTGTTGTTGTGCGATATTGAGTATGTGCTGATCACTCACTTCTCAGAAGAGATGCCTTGTCAGAAGAGGTGGGTTAGAAGCTCGCTTCTTCTCCATTGCGGCTTTCACAACGCGGCAAAATACGTTTGCTCATTTTGGCCCAGGGAGGCAACAAACCAACCGAATCCATCAATTGACTCAGCTTAACTAAAAGCAACGCAACTCAATCAACCCAATCAATCAAATGACAAAAGTGAGGATGAGCTAGGCTCGTACTCTAGCCGACTGCTGAGCAGGTGAAAGCTTGCCATGGGCATAGGCAATTAATCCTGCATTTGGCAGCCATAGCGGCAGTCCGAATCTCAGGCCAAAAAAGGCAGCCAAGTCTTGGAGCGATGCTTTTAGGGCAGCATGTGCAAAGGCATTGAGATGCATTGAGCCTGTCCAGTTGGCCTGTGCAATATGATGGCTGCGGTGCAAGCTTTGAATGCAACATGCAGCAGAAGGCCAATGAAGCATCAACTGGCACCCCATTTAGTGGCATTGAATTCCAGCATCCATTTGGCGGCGCAGTTGTTGGAGGCAAGCAGCAACTTGACAAGGTCGACACATTGCATCTCTCCGAGTTGTGTACATAGAGCTTTGCCCCTCATGCTCCCCGCTCTGCTGGCCAATGGCAGTGCCAACAGCAACCTCTACGTCTCCGGGCTGCCCCCAAGCACCAGCGAAGAGATGTGTCGCCAGCTGTTCAGGGAGTTTGGTGAAGCAGCCTGGCAGGCAAGCTTCAGTTTGCAGCGTGCCCCCTGTTGCCTCACACAGCTTTAGCAGATTGGGCACAGAAAGCGGTGAGCGGCAAGCCGCAAGCGGCAGGTTGCGAATCCGGAGGCTTCAAAAGCCTCTCGCAGCTCAGGTGGCCTCAGTGCGGACCTTCTATGGAAAGACGCCCACGGCGCCCAGCTACGGCTTTGTGAAGTTCAAGACGGACGCAATGGCCCGGCACCCGGCACCCGGCACCCGGCACACCCGGCCCGCGGCACGTGCGCCTTGCAAGGCATTGGCAGCGATCACCGGCATGAATGGACGGGAGTTCAATGGTCACGTGATGTCTGTCCGCCTTGCCAACAATGACACCACAGGGCCCTATCCCAGGACTGCGGCAGTGAAATCGGCGGCCAAGCAATCGCCTTGTGCGCGTTCGGAGTGCAGGACCCCACCTCCTCAGCCGATGCAAACCTCAGGCGGTACCAACTTGTATGTCAGTGGCTTGCCCCCGGATGCTGGGCTGAAAGTTATGGCTGGGCTAAAAGCTGCTAGCAGACTTGGAGGATCTTGGAGGGCTGACAGGCACCAAGGGCAGCACCTCTGGAAGCACTCAGACTTTGCGTTCCCTTGCTAAGGATTTGGATGAGGCTAGAATGAAAGAGCTCTTTCAGAAGCATGGGAATGTGGTCTCTGTGAAGCTGGCGCGGGAGGCTGGTTGTGCCCTAAGCTCCAGTCTGACATTTGTTGACTCGTTGGCTGCTACTCACAGGCCAGAATCTACAAACAATATGGCTTCGTTCACTATACGGTTCCAGAGGAAGCCGAAGCTGCCATCAATGCCATGCACAACAGGATCATTGCTCTTTGGCTGATTCAGGAAGATGGGAGCTCAGAGCCAGATTTTCCAAAATGCTAAGGACAGAGATTACCAGCTCACAGTGAAGTATGCCAACAGCTCCGAGAAGAATTGGAGGGACACTTGGGACTTGGTTCCCATATGCTTGTTGTTGCCCACCATAAATGCTTTCGAGCAGGGGTCATGGCCCCTTTAAACAACAGCGATGTGAGGATTCCTGGCAGGAACTCGATCAAACTGCGATTGTCGCTCCTCACCGGTGCCCAGGATTCAATACCGGGCATGCCGGGCATGCTGGGCATGCCGGGCATGCCAGGAATGGCGGCCGCGCCTCCACCGGTAGCATCGACCGGCGCCTGGTCAGGAACGTCACCAGCTGCGGGCTTGCCAGGAGACCGGACTTCAGAACTTCAGAGCATTTCAGAACTTCGGAACGATAAGTTTCTGAGGAAGTCCCACATGGCCAACATGGCTCCAAGTGCAGCACGCCGCGTGCTCGTCAGGAGAAGGCCGTGAGGACAAGGTGGCAACTGTGCACATCACGGGGCTGCCTCCAGGCAGCCAGATGGAGCACGGTGGTCCGGGTTTGTCCAGGTTTTCTCATGCACGCCAGGCACTTCCGCAGATCAGCTGCAGTCGTTCTTCGGCGCCTATGGCCAGGCAGGGATCCAAGTCACAGCCTGGCCAAACTGTTGCCCGGCGTAGAATTTGGATTGAACTGAATGCTTGACGCCCTGTGCCGCCCTGCCAGGTCAATGCCAAGGTCCTGGACGACGGCAGCCAGGGCTCGCCGGCCACGGCTTTGCTTCGGCTGCCGCCAGCAGATGCTGAGCGGCTGGTCACCGACTTTGACGGTCATGTGCTCCAAGGCAGGGCCCGAGAAAAAAGCGGAGCCATAGGTTGCTAAGCGGCGACGCTTCATGAACTCGAGGTAAAGCCTCATGGCTTCAATCCGCTTCATACGCATTGCATGCGCATTGCATACGCGTTGCATACTCGTTGCATACTCGTTGCAGACTCTCATTTGACTCTCATTTGACTCATGAGGCCTGGAGCGCCCGCTGTCCGTGCGCGTGACCGACTCTCGGGAGTCCTGGGGCCCGGAGAGGGAAGAGAAGTCCTCGGCGCGATGGGAGCCGTACAAGGCGGGCTCCAAGAACCTAGAACAAGGCGGACCGAGGGCTTAGACCAACTTTGTTTTCTACCCCCAAACCAGCCCCCCCAATAGTTTAATGGCGGTAGTACAGCCATTTAGTGGGACACAAAAAGGCCATAAAGGCTTCGACAGACCGCCAGGCGAGCGAAGGGCCGCCGCCTCCTAAGGCCACAGGACCTCCTGGGCCCAGCATTGCAAGCTGCCCAGCTGCAGATTTGGGAGGGCCTGCCATGCCGGACACACAAAGTAAGTTTTGTTCTCGGAGATTTCAACGAGATCCATTGTGCAGCACTTTCCCTTCATGCGCGTCATCTAGATCATTTTGCATCACCGATTGTGCAAGACGCCTTGCTCGCGAAATCTTATTCTCTCAATTAGTTCACCTCTGCTTTTCTTGAACTTGAAGCTCCTTTAGCCAATCCCATTTGTAGCCTTGCCACGTCCGCCTCTCGTAGCTGTCGGAATAGCTGCGCATCGTTTGATTTGTGCAAGTGTTTTTCATGTGCAATTGTCCCTTCGATGGCTTGATGTTTTGTCTCGATTCTCCATGGCTCCGTCTTCGATTTTTTCTGATTGCCTCGCAGCCCCTCATACGATGGATCCGTTTGGGTGTGCGCACTTCCCGCCGCCTCCAGCTTGGCAAGCTGTGATCTGAATCCGCTGCAAGTCTCATTCGCGTTTTTGACCTGTCCTTAAAATATGTTGAAATATGTAGCCCAATACGCATGTTGTCATTTACAGTTGTACAGTTGAGACTACTGACATGTTTTGGCTCAAGAAAATAAGGCGCTCCGAAGCGGCCAAGTAGATTTTCATGGTAGCGGGGAGCAGTAAAGGTTCAGAGGGACCTAATCGCTCAATTTGGTACTTCGCCAGCAGAGGGCGAGGATCAGTACCGCCTTGGAGGCGGGGAGGCCGACGCGGCAGGAGCCCGGCGGCGGTAGAGGGAGGGCGTTTCGGTCGTGCCAGAGACCGAGGAGCCGCCCGAAGAGGCCCCGGTGGAGGAGACCGGGTTTGTGCCGGCAGCTGATCTGCCGGTGGAGGAGCCACAGCTTGGAGGAGCTGAAGAGGAGCCAGAAGAATTGGCTTCGGGACCTGACTGGTCCCCCAACGAGGAGAACGTTGCCCAGCAGGCAGCTGAGACAGAGAGGATCTCAGCTAAGCTGCTGGAAGAGCCAGAGGAGCCGCCAAGGAAGAGAAAGAAGAGAGGAGAGGATAAGCCCCCAGAGCCGAAGAAGCCGCCGCGCAAAGGGTGGATCGTTAATAGATCCACAGAAGCTTCAGCGTCGGACTCGGACGCCTGGGGCAACTGGCGATCTCCTTTGATCGCCCTGGCAGCCCCGTCCTCATTGCATCCAGAGGCTGCCAGTAGCACAGCACCAGCACCAGCAGCAGCAGAAGCAGCAGCTGAGGAAGGGGAGGCCCAAGCAGAACCAGAAGAGGAGGCCCTGCAGCAGCTGAGGAGAAGCCCGAGGAAGCAGGCAGGGGAAAGGGCACAGGCAAGAAGGGCAAGAAGAAGAGCAAGGCGCCCTGGCCCCGCGTGCAGGAGAACTCAGCTTGTAAGTGGAAGGACGGACGCCTGTCCAAGGAGGCGAGGTCCTACCGGTTCCTGCGGGGCTTGATCAAGTTGAACTTGAAGCGCAACAACCCGATCCCGCCTGCAGTCCAGGAGGCCCTCGAAAAGTTCGAGGAAGAGTACGGCTACGAGGTGCCCATCCCCAAAGGCTTTGGACGTGCAGCCAAAGACCCCTCCAGGTGGTCCAAGGCAAAGGCCAAAGCGGGAGTTGACCCGCCGTAAGAGAAGGCCGACCAGTGGATGCACCTCGGAGGAGGAGGAGGAGCCCACTGCCAAAGCAGGCGCAGCAGCTGAGGAAGCAGCAGCACCAGGCACTGGGCCAATTACATTGCTGCCGGAGGTGGCAGCCGCGGCGAAGTCTGCAGGCCGCGCTAGCCACGCAAGAGGCAGCACTGCGCAGAGTGCGTGCAGGCAAAGCCACCCCGGAGTCTGCACTGGCCAGCAACTACCGCCTGAGGAACGCGGCAATCAGGGCACAGCCGGAGCTGCCGTAGAGGCAGCGATCAGGGCCCAGGTGTTGGCCCGGGCGCGCATCGCGAGCCAAGGCAAGGGCGCGAAGGGCGCGACGCCTATCGCACCTGCTGCTGTCACCACTGCATCAAAGGCCCTTGCAGTGAACCCCAAGCCCGCGGCGAAGAAGCCGCCACCTGTGCCCAAGGCAGCATCCAGCAAGCCTGCAGCAAAGGTCAAGTTGCAGCCCAAGCCCAAGCTGAAGCCCAAGCTGCAGCCCAAGGAGCAGCCCGAGGAAAAGCCGGGTGAGGAAGTGGCCAAAAGCAGCAAAGGCCCACCGGTGTTCCTCAAGCCCAAGAAGAAGCCACCGGGAGCTCCGCGGCAGAAGTGGTCCGGAATCCGCTTTTCGACTGAGCAGGAGTCCACGGACTCGGAAACCTACACTTCGAGGTCCTGGTGGAAGAACCCGCCGAGGATAGCGAGGCAGACGTATAGTCTGCCGAGGGCTGATGGCAGAATTAGCTGCCATACAAGCGCAACTGCAGCAGATCCTTGAGGAAAATAGAGTGTTGCGCGAGCAGCAACAGAGGCAGCAGGAACAAACTGCCTTGTTGACCCGGCTGGCCGAAAGCATGACAGAATTGGCCAGAAATACAAAGAGGGAAGAACCCAGGAAGCTGTTGGTTGACACAAAAGGGATTGGTAAGCCGGAACGATTCAACAATGAAGAGCATACGTTCGGGAAGTTGGCGCGTTCAGTCACAAACCTTGTTGTCAGCATCTTTGGGAAGGAGTTCGGGAAAGTGTTGGATTGGTGCCTCGATCAGGATTAACCCATGGAGAGACTGAGGACTTGGTGATAGGCTGTTCTAATGGATTTGAAGCGTGGAGAAGAAACCACCGCCGGTGGGATCCCTTAACCGCCGGACGGAAGAGAAACATACTCCGGGCGATATTGAACCCAGAACGTGTGAAACGGTGGGAAAATGTGAGGGCTGCGATAGAGCAACTCGAAGACCTTTTCAGGCGATATGAAAATCGCAAGAATGAAGCTGGTGAGCGAGAACGCCTGTCAGAAGACATAAAGGCGACCAGCTTGGAGTTGCTTGTACCCTCAGACATTGAACGCCACCTTTTGTTGTTGGCCTCAGGACGCCTCACAACGCACAGATGAAATCAGAAATTGACCTAGTGATTGAATCCTCTTTGGGAAGTAAGGCACCGATTTCACGCCCTGGCGCAGCATCCTCATCGGACAGTGGTCCGGCGCCTATGGACGTGGACAGCCTCACAAAGGTCATCAACAGCTTGGTCAAAGGCAAGGGGTCCGGTGGAAAGGGCAAAAGTAAGGGCAAAGGTAAAGACAAGGGCAGTGGCGGAAAAGGTTCAGCTTCCAATGACATAGTTTGTTTTAACTGTGGTAAAGCCGGGCATAAAGCTGCGGAGTGCTGGAGTATAAAGAAGGATGGCTCAAACAAAGGCTCAAGCAAAGGCTCAAAAGGAGGCGGAAAGAAAGGCAAGAGCAAGGGTAAGCACAAAGGAGCGAACTCACTAGAAGAGGACACAGGTGAGGGAGCCCATGAAGAAGAACAACCCGAAGGAGAGCTCGATGTGGGTATGTTTGGATTGGGTGCACTTACAGCTGGAGAGGCTCTCCAGGCTATGGAATGGGCCCGCTTCAATTTGTCCCATCAGACTGGGCAGACAAGGAAGGACTGAGGTTAGGCCTCAGGTGAGCTGGTCCGTGGGACCGGTACGGGTGTGTTCAAAGGAACCGGAGAGTTTGGGCACTGCTGTAGTGTCATAGGCCCGTTGGCTCCGGTACACAAACCCTTGGTCTCGGCCTACAAATGCTTGAAGCACGGCAGAGTTGCGGTGCTAGATGAGCATGGCGGGAATCTGATCCCGCAGGACTCTAAGGTTTTTGGCAAGATCTTGGAGCTGATTGAGAAGGAGAAGAACAAGCACCATGCGAAGGCATGGATTCCGGTGTACCAGGAGAAAGGTGTCTACAACTTCTACCTGAAGGCGAAGGCACCTACTCAGGGTTTGGTGTAAGTCCGGCCCAAGCCATGGCAGCGGCAGATGATGCCGTGCCCGCCGGACGAGGAGATGAGGACATGGGCACCAGCGAACCCGACAAGGGCGGAGGTGGACGAGCGTGAGTCTACCCATCATCGCGAGCGACTACACCTTCATGACTACAGATGGCAAGGAAGATGGAAGAGCCAAGCCTATCTGGTGATCAAAGACAGCCGGACGTTGTCCGTGGCAGCCACTTTTGTGGATGCAAAGGGTCCTACACCCTATGCCGTGAAGTTCTTTGCCAACTTTCTGAAGCACTTAGGCTATCGGAGAGCGGTTATGATGAGTGATGGTGAGCATTCGATTCTTGCTCTTAAGGAGCAGGCAGCCCGTGAGGCTGGAGTGGAAAATGTTCCACAGGAGTCCCCGGTGGGTGACCACCGGAGCAACGGACTTGCGGAAAATGCAGTCCGTGAGGTCAAGAGGCAGGTGAGAGTCTTGAGGTCTTCTTTAGAAGAGATGATCGGCAAGGTTCTACGTGAGGACGACCCCGTCCTGGCATGGCTTCCGCGACATGCGGCAGACCTGATGTGCCGGTACCGCAAAGGACCGGACGACGGCCGCACGCCTGAACATGGTAAGAACTGGCGAAAGCCAGCGATCGCCATAGGCGAGAAGTTATACTACCGTGAGGTAGGAGAAGGAGTACGACATCTTAAGGAAGGCCGGTACGTCGGCCACCATGGTCGTACCGGATCACTTTTGGTGATCACAGCAGATGGTGTCAAGAGAGGCACTGGAGTCCGCAGACTGGCGGACTGTGACCGTTGGGTAGCCGACGGTTGGGATGCTCTACGAGCTACGAGGAGAAGCCGTTGTCTTGGTTGGAGAGCCAAGGATGGAGGTGCCACCGGCAGTTCATGTCATGGCGCCACCTATGCAGAAGAGGATCTACATCCGGAAGGCAGACGTCGAGAAGTACACGCCTACAGATGGGTGCCAAGGACGCACATGCATTTTGCTGGGCCAATCTACCGTGTTGCCACACACGGAAGCATGCAGAGCCAGAATTGTGACTCTGATGCAACAAGATGAGGAAGGCAAGAGTAGATTGGAAGAACGCGAGAGGAAGAAGAGATCGAAAAGGGATGAGAAGAACGAGGCCCCTGAGAGGGATGTGACAGCTGACGACGCAGCTGGAGCGCCGGCCGACAAGGCCGTGCGAGGAACGCAGGGATGAAGGCATTTTGCCATACCCTGACAACCCAGAGGAGAGGTCAAGCCTGAAACGTGCGCCTGCAGAGCCTAGCAGTAGCAGTACGCCTGCAGGGAGTAAGGCTAAAGCCTCACCAGTCAAGCCTCAGAAAAGACCGGGAGAACTCAGGATAGCCGCTGGACCTAAGCTGAAGGTCCAGCCACCCCAAGAGAGAACCTGAGGTATCAGTTGAAGATTTGAGAGATCAGACTGGAGAGCCACCTGCTGGAGCAACTACTCCAGGGCAGCCCCCGGACGCGGGAGGACTGTCTTTGAGCAGGGCAAAGGAGGTGGTGAAGAGGATGATCGAAAGGAGAATCAAGCAGGTCTATGAGCAGCAGGAGGTAGAGATCTCGTCAGTGGAAATTGAGACTCTAGCCAACATAAGCTGCGAGCTAAGCGCAGTACACATCATGGAAGTGTACAGTCCAGCACGATTCTCTAAGGAGGCGAGCAGGTTTGGTTTAAAGCCTGGTTTCGCAATCGACCTTGAGGAGGCTAAACCCGACGGTTCGTTCTGGGACCTTAGCAGGCCAGAAGACGTCGGGGCCGTAAACCAACTGATTGATCGCGACGAACCAGTACTACTGACTGGGAGTCCGCCGTGTGATCAATTCAGCCACTTGCAGAACATCAACAAGTACAGGGTCAGCCCGGATCAACGTAAGATCCGTATGGATAAAGCATTGGAGCATTTGCGCAACTCATGCAGCTTCTACAGGAAGCAGCTGAATGCAGGACGCCTGTTCTTGCACGAGGCGCCCTGGAATGCCACTTCGTGGAAAGATCCTGAAGTCAAGGAACTGACGGATCGCCGGGACACATATTTGGTCCGAGGGCCGATGTGCCGATGGGAGATGATGGCGACAGACCGCCGTGGTCTTCAAGGCACAGGCTATGTGGGAAAGGAGACCGGTTGGCTCACTAATAGCCGGGAGCTTGCTGAGCTCTTGGAAGGTGAGTGCAGCAACAAGGCAGGGAAAGATCCCTGGCACAGGCATGTACACCTCATTGGTGGAATTGCCAAACAGGCCGCCAGGTACCCACCTGCGCTGGTCAAAGCTGTCCTTCGGACAGTCAAAGCTTATCTTGTACAGAAGGGTGAGCTTAACTCAATGGAGTCGAATACATCAGGGCCAATCTGTGAGGAACCTTTTGTTCCAGCAGACTACATTGAAGAGTACTGGGATGATGTGAACGGAGGACTTCTACCAGCGGAAGAAGTTAAGAAGGCAAGAACTCTTGAGATGGACTACTTCAAGAAGCAAGGAGTTTACCGGAAGGTGCCGGTAACACAGTGCTACGCAGAGGGACTTCGTCCAATCACGGTGAGATGGTTAGACACGAACAAAGGAGATCCTGAAAAGCCCAACTACCGGTCTAGATTAGTTGCCCGTGAAATTAAGGCAGCTAAGAAGCCGGAGGAACAGTTGCCGCAGAACCTCCTGTTCTCGTCAACGCCACCGTTGGAGGCGATGCGCTACCTGCTGAGTGCCTGGGCAACAGACCGGGTGTCAGCCAAGGGCCGGAGACTGAAGCTCGGTCTCTGGGACATAAGTCGAGCGCACTTTTACGGAGTACCGAAGCGACGCATATACGTTGAACTTCCACCAGAAGACGCAGAAGAAGGCTTCTGTGGTTTGTTGGAGAAGAGCATGTATGGTTGCCAAGACGCGCCAGCAATCTGGCAAGACCATTATACCCAACTTCTTTTGAAGCATGGGTTTCAGCGTGGCCGCAGCAATGGTTCCTGCTTTTACAAGCCGAGCACAGGGTGCAGAGTGTTGGTTCATGGAGACGACTTTCTTGCACTTGGTGATCAAGAAGCTTTGGATGAGCTGGATTCCACTTTAAGGAGTGCCTACGAGCTGAAACGGCTTGGAATGCTGGGAGACGAGGATGGAGATGATCGCGCAGCACATTTATTGAATCGTCTGATCCGCATTGGCATGCACGAAGGCCAATCAGCGGTTTCTTGGAACCTGACCGCCGTCATGTGGAACTTTTGGTGAGACATCTGGGAATGGTGAACGCGAAGGGCACTGAGACCCCAGACATCAAGAAGTCCGTGGAGCAGCAGCTTTTGGAGGCTAACAGCCCTCCGTTGGCACGAGAAGCAGCTTCACTTTATAGGTCGAGTGTGATGCGAGCAGCGTACCTCAGTCAAGATCGTCCTGATCTTTCGCACGCTGTGAAGAATCTTTCAAGGAAGATGGTCACCCCGACCGAGGCGGCGATGCAAGACCTGAAGAGACTGTGCAGATATTTGCTGAAGTATCCTGATCTTTGTCAAGTGTTTGGGAGACAAGCCAAACCCTCGAAGGTCCGTATACAGGTTGATTCTGATCATGCAGGAGACGCTGTCACTAGGCGAAGCACTACAGGCATGGTTGCCCTCTATGGTAGCCATACACTGAAGCACTCTAGCAACGTCCAGTCGACGATAGCATTGAGCACTGGAGAGAGTGAGTACTACGCTTTAGTGAAAGGCGGTTCTGTAGGATTAGGACTTCAATCCCTCCTTCAAGACTTTGGAGTTGAGGTAGAGGTTCTAGTAGAGTCTGATGCAACCGCAGCCAAAGGTACGGTTAATAGAGTAGGCCTGGGAAAGGCACGCCACATTCAAACTCGTTATCTGTGGTTACAGGAACGTGTGGCGATGAATCATTTAAAGGTAGAACACATACCAGGCAAGCGGAACAGGTCTGATGTGCTGACAAAGTCAGTACCCGGAGTCCAAATGAAGGACACAATGAACCGTTCCGGATTTGTGTTACTTCAAAGCAAGAGTAAAGGCCAGATGAGCCTTCTAGATTCGCAAGGCCCTGGTCCAGGCTCCGACTACCGCACTGTATAGTTGCTGCGCAGGTGATCAAGCACCCTCCAGCAAGGAGGAGTGTTGAAATATGTAGCCCAATACGCATGTTGTCATATACAGTTGTACAGTTGAGACTACTGACATGTTTTGGCTCAAGAAAATAAGGCGCTCCGAAGCGGCCAAGTAGATTTTCAAAATATGTAAAGTTGTGCGCGGTTCAGGTCAGCGGTGAAGCCAGTGGTCAAGACGGCACATAGCAAGCTTTGGGGTTGCAACGCCATGCTGGACACAGACTTCACGAGGAGTTGACACCGCTCCCAACGCGCAACACAACCAAAACACGAGGCCTCGACAAGCGTGCAGCAGATCTGTTCAAGTGGATGAATTGTGAAACCAGGAGGGTCATCTTGAAATGCCCAGCAGCATTCGAGAGAATGACGCCTACCAAGACAGCTTAACGCTTGCAAGCGTACTAAAATGCCGAGAGCCGCTGCTCCAAACATTTTCCAAGATTCGGGCAGATGATCCAAACTTAAGCCACATAGGTGAAAGAGAGCCAGCATGGATTCAGGCCTCAGAACGATCATGATATGACGAAACTTCTTTGCGTAAGGCGACTTGGCGCACCGCGAAGCATGCGCATATTGTGCATACAGCATATTTACACCAAAAGGGTTTGGAGTTACTGCCGGAGACAGGGAACCTCACAATTTAGGCATGCCGGGCTGCCTGCTTCCGCCGCATCTATTTGTGCCACTCGTGTCTGCCATCAGAGATAGTAAGGACAAGCTGGAGACGCTCCGGCAACGGGAACGCATGAGGGGTGCAGAGTACAGCAAAATATTGTATGCCAGCGACACGTTGACAATCCACTCTTGCACCAGATTGAACCAAGTGTATCACAGCAGGAAATCAAATCTGAGTGCGTGAATCTAACTATCAAGCGAAGACAATCCCAAATGAAAATTGTTGCGGTTCTATGGTACAACTACCTAGGTATCTTGCTCACAGATACTGCTGACAAGAAAAGAGAAAGCATGAATAGAAATTTGCAATCGACGGAAACTGCCGTCGTTTGGAACAAGGAAAGAACTGCCATCAGGTAGGAAACTTCTTTATGGACTAGACAATCTAGTTAAATCAAGCCTCTCATTATATAGGCTCGAGTGACGAGCGTAGAACAAACAATATTCTCAGAAACCAGAACAACATACATGTTGTGGACTTTGCGATCATGCGGAAGATGTGGGAAACTCCTTTCTCACATTTTCCTAGCGTAGCTGGTCAGACCCTACCAGTTGTGCTCGAAAAGGTCACACTGATTCACTGATACGCAGTAATAGACCTAGACGACTTACCACGGGCGCAACGATTGTAGAAGCATACGCAGATGATCAGGCGGAACTCAGCCATTTGATATCCAAAGCGTACAGCATCATCAACGATGCATCACAAGTGTAATTCGCCCCGTCAACAGAAAGGGCACAGAAAGGGCATGGCAAGCAATTACGCTCATCAAAGCATCGTAGTTCGCGCTGTCGACAGCACTTGTCACCGAAAGGGGACGCCCTTTCACAGCATGCACTGCAAGGCCGTAATTAGCAATTCCCCCTTTCTGCTCGGAAGAAGCACCATGATCACTGCGCAGTTGATGCAGCTTGCGTGTTGAAGAAAAACCACGGAAGGGGATGTACCTTTGTGGGCTTGTGCTTGTGCCACCTTGCGAATTTCTTCACGAAGAGCATCTCATGCCTTCACCCGAGCCACTGGGCCACTGGACTCTTGCGTCGCGAGATGGCAAAGCAAAAGCATCGGACTCCGGCATGTAAGACCGGGTCTCCGGGCACGGTGGCATGGGAGATTGAGAGATGGAATGACGCCCGAAGCTAACAGCTAGTTGCCGACCAGCAACTCTGGCCTGTTGTGGGGGTGCCTGACAACAAATTCAGACGGGGAAAGTCAGCACGGGTGTGTTGCGGTTTTGTTTTTCTTTGTCAGGCTCGGAGTTCATGGTAGCGATTAGCGAGACGGTACCTCGGCAGCAAAACGTCTCTGCAGATACTTCTCGTGCTGCACGGGCTCCATGTTTCTTTTTGTCGCTTATGCCACCCTAGGTGTCTCGGGTAAAGGGCTTCAGGCCCGTGCTACCGCATACGATGGACCCGACCAATTTGTACATCAAGGGACTTCCGTCCAATGCTGACGAGCCGCTTGGTTTGCCATAGCTTGGCCTTGAAAGAATCGGTGTTCAGCGGTTTCACGCTGCAATACTCTCGTGCAGGCTTTACCTATATTCCATTTTCTCGCCCTTCGGTGCTATACAGAGTGTGCGGTTGCTGAGAGACTCCATCACCGGCCTTTGCACGGGAGCGGCGCTGCTGAAGTTTGGGCAGACGGAAGACGCAGAGCTGGCTATCCGAACGCTCTCGGGCAACAAGTTGCCAGACGGAGTTGTGTTGGATGTGACCGTGAAGACTGTGAGGGCATAGCACGTCGAATAGGCTTGGCAAGTTGAAAAGGAGCCTCTTTCAGAATCTGAGTTCAGTGGCCGGTTTTTGTGAGGCGGGCACGTTGCCAATAAGCCAGCATGGACTGCTCATGTGTGGCTTTTGTGGCTTTCTGGCTCAGCTCAAAGTGGGCTTGCGCTTTTTGCTCGCCCCGGGCACCCAAAGTCTCACAACGAAGCTCTTGAGCCACACGCCCAGACTCGCAGCTCAAATGGATAGCTGTTTGCATCTGGTTGCGCTTGCGTGTGGAAAATGCCAGGCCTCGTGGTGAGGGCATGAAGGCGAGGGCCAGTGAAATGTGGCACGGCGAGCGCTCAACTTGAGGCCTTCCTGGCCGCACTGGCCCTTGCCTCGGGCGCCAAACTGAGGCGGGCAGCTCTTAGCGCGTTTCGCTTTGCGCCGCGTCAATGCTTTTGCTCTTCTTGCTCTTTGCTTTTCTTATCTCTTCTTCCCGGTTCGAGGGACTGAGTGGCACGATAGATCTGTGGCAGGACAACGTCCCAGCAGGAGGCGGCGATGTTCGCAGTCATGGGCCAAGCTCAATTGGCAGCTGTTACCCATATCAGTTCAGGCAACCTTCATAGAGCAGAAGTCTGCGAGGTCGTCCAGTGCTCAGCATTGCCAGCTTGCTGGGTCTGGATTTGGAAGATTGGGGCAAATGTTTGTAAGGCTGGTGGCAAACTGCCCTGACAACCAGTTTCCGCACGTCAACCTCACCATTGAGGGTGTAGCATCTCGGCGGGAAGCTGGCATGATATGTGCACGGCCTCAACGATCCAAGACGCCTGGCCAGGGCGCGCATGCGGACGTCTTGCCTCCAGAGAGGCTGCAGGAGCTGCAAACAAACCTAGCCGGCCATCCAGAAGCATGGCGAGAAGAGCCGGATTCAATCCGACTCGCCTTAAGCGCTTCTGACATGTCAGTGCGTCGGATGTCCGGCTTGCGTTTGAGCGGTGCAGCCTAGGACTGGGCCATCGGGAAGCCATGGGTTCTGAGTCTGGAAGCCGATTCCCTGGAGCCGGCGGAAGATCGTGAGTTCGGCTTCGCAGGCGGCGAGGGCTTCCTGGTGCCTCGGAAAGGACTCAGTTCGATTGGGGATCGGAGGGGATGGCGGCTTAAGAGCAGGCGTGCTCAACGATCTAGCCAAAGCTTGCGGTTTTCCGCCGTGTGGTTTCTTGGTCATTTCCAAGTCCCTTGGAAAGGCGCCAGTGCTTTTCAGTACTTTTTCCACCCCCAAAACCACAGCCCTCAGGGTTTGAATGGGATACACAACCGCCATATAGCCGCCACAGAAAGAATGCACCTCGCGTTTTCCTGGGGGTGGCACGGTTTGTGGGTAGCAGCCATCTCAGAATTGCCGATCCCTCTTGTTTGAAGCCGAG